TGGTGATATATTGGAGTGTAGGGGGGAGTATAGGAATAATCGTCCAATGGGTTGACTGGTGGTATTATCACCCAAAAAGGGCAAGGGTTCTGCTAACTGTTTAAAGAGGATGGGCGGATGGCGGACTACAACGGAGGCCGGGACTTCCAAAGCCTGAAGCGCGAGGCCAGGCCGGGAGAGACCGCCGGCGGCTTTGCCGCTCTCTCTCCCCCTCTCCTCTCCGAGGTGGAGCGGAAGCTGGATCCACGCCCGGTCTGCAGCCTGGAGTCCAAGGCCTCGCGCGCTTGGGCGCCACGGTGCCCCGCTGTTTCCGCCTCGCCAGGAGGCCTGCACGCCGGAGGCCCCCCCCGCCTGGCAGTCGCCTGTCACCTGTGCCTTTTTGCTTCTTTTGCCAAACGAGCGAAAGCTTCCAGGCTTTGGGCCTTCTTTCATTAGAGTTTCGGTACCCCACATCGAGTAAACGGACCCCGAAACCCCAAGAAGTAAAAAGTAAGCTACAAAGAAGCCGAACACCCAAAAGAGTAAACCCAGTGAAAGGAATAAGCCCAGACCGAAACCCTAAGGAGCTGCGAGTCCACCTTCGGGGGGGGCCGACCTGATGACCAAATAACACCATGTGTTTAAGTTTCACGGTTCTGCAGGGTTGTTCGAAGTATTTCACGACAAAGGCTAAAGCTACCAGGGAACGTTTTCCGAGTCAATGTTGCCCGCATCCGTTTGGGGCTTGTGCGTTCACTTCTGTGCCACCTTGAAGGACCGGGCTATTTTGGAAGAGAGCGAGAAAATGTCCAAGGCCCACACTGAGCATGCACCCGCGGCATGCCCAGACGTTCGCACAGCACGAGGCGGAGAGGGCGGCCAAGTTGAAGGAAGTGCAGCAAGAGATCCAGGAGCACCTTAGGAGCATTCTATGTGCATGTTTGCTGTGTAGGGTGCAGGCCTAGAATCCGCGTTCTTGCGGCAAGGAGGCGAAGAAGCAGCAGCAGGAGCTCGAGAAGAAACAGAAGAAGCTGAAGATCCCAGAGTAGATTCTGGGGGGGGGGGGCGTCTTTTTTCGCCGTTGTGTGATTAGAACGGGTCTGAGGCTGACGGAAGCCCTGGAGCTCATCAAGGCCGGAGTCTCGCCAGAGCGAGGGCGGGGAGTGGCTCTGACGCAGCCAGGCCGGTGGGGTCCAAGTGGAGAAGGTGGAGCAGCTCCTGGACGATGCCGATTGGCGTGCCCACTGCGAGGCCCCAGTTTTTTTTTTGGTGGGAGTTTCACGGCAGTTTTTGGATTGGTCTTTTGCAGGGCCGCACCTGCATCGGCCGCTCTGACTGCTTACTGTGCGCGCACCTTTCGAGCAGCCATCTTTATGCCGCGTGTTACATGCCAGTGGCCTTCCTACCGCACATCTATGACGACGGTGCTGCGCTGAGCGCACGCCCGATAGGCGCCGGGGGCTGGGCGGGGGCGTGTCGGGAGGTGCCGCGGGCCGACGAGAGAAGATCCAGGCCGGGGGCGGGTTCCGGGTGCTGGGCGGGGCTGGGCTGGGCGGTGCGGACCCATTTTTCCAGGTCTTGGAGGAGGTCTTGAAGGACACGAAGAAGGACGGCAAATCCGTGGGCTTCCTCTGGAGCCAGGGTGGCGACCAGTTCGAGATGGAGGAGGCCAGAGACGCTCGCACAAAGCAACACTTCCGTTCCGAACTGATCCGAGGTGCTGGGTTTGCAGTTTGGTTTCCCGGCGGCCGGACGCACAGACGGGCAGACAGCGAGAGTCGGAGTCGCAGCAGTCGCCGCAGTGCCAGGTGATGGCCGTCAACTTTGGCAAGGCCCTGCCGGCCGGCGAGCGGCGAGCGGCGAGCGAGAGACATGTCATGAGCCATGCCAGCCATGCCATGGTTCTTTTCTCAGGGCCGCTTTGGCGTCTTTCGGCCGCAGCTGCAGAGCAGCAGGAGAGCAGGAGCAGAAGCAGAAGAGATACGTAAAGGAATATACCGGCGAAGTGGTTTGAATTTTCCGTTCTCAGGTCCACAGAGGCATCTTCGACAAAGACTCCATATCTCAGTTCCTTACCTCGCTTGCACGTGGAGGCACTCCGCCTGGATCTCAGAGTGCAGGAGTGCGAGTCATGGCTCGCGGCTTTGCGGCTTGCGGCTCGCGGCTCTCAGGCTGGCTCCTTGGCCTGTCCGTGACCGAGTGCCTGCGGCGATAGGAACTCTTCGATCCGCGCGTGCTGACAGGCCCGTGCGGTCGCTGCGAAGGCCGAGGCCTGGGATGGCAAGGACCGGGTCACGGGACCGTTTTTGTGTCAAGTGGAGACGGAGCTCTTAAAACGGAGGACGCTGCTCCGCCCGAGGAGGACCTCTGACGCGGAGCTTAGCAGGGCAGTTCGTGCCCTTTAGGCTTGGCTGTAGTTCCCAGCACCAAAGACTGCCGCAGACGCGCAAGGCCGCATGGCGAGAGCGCTGCAAGGGACGCAAGCACAATCAAGCCATATATTATGCCATACTATGCCATAGTAATGGGCCATATGCCAAACATCACAGCCAACTGCCTGGGGGCCTGCAGCTGTCGGCTCGACTCTGCTGGCAGCGCCAGAAGAGGCGCTTGGGATTCTTCGCAGACTCCGTGCAGGAGAACCTGAGCTCCTTTGTGTGACCCGCCGACTCGTCGTTCTCGGAGGAGCGGATGCTGTACCTGCAGCAAGTGCTGAACGACATCCGGAAGGACCGAAATCCTGAAGTCTAGGGAGCAGGGGTGCAAGAAGCTGTCGCGAAAGGAATCGAATCCTCCAAAGTCGTTGCGAGCTGAACACCTCTTCAAGCTGAACGAGGCGCAAAAGAGCGCTCGCTCCGCTCTCGCTCTCGCTCCGCTGGCTCAGGCGGTCTTCAACTTGTCCGAGGAGGACGCGGTGGACGGGCCCTTGGCCGTGAAGCTCTTCCAGGAGCTGCCTGGGAAGATGGAGCATCTGCAACGCAGCCTCCAAGCGTTCTTTATGAGGCGGTGGAGCGGATCCACACTGCCTATAACACCGGCAAGCCACTTGACTCCATCGGTCTCGCCAGCGATGTCCGCGGCACTTGCTGGCTTCTTAATGCCGCAGGTATGACAACCAGGATTCGAATTTCTTCTACGACTACTTGGCCCTGCTGGGCACCATGCAGCCTGCTCCTCGTAAGAGCATGAGCATGCGAGAGCATGAGCATGCTTTGGAGCGAGTGCGTTGAGGAATCAGCACTTCTTCAGCCAGAAGCAGACCGAAAAGATGCTCGGCTGGATCAAGGAGGCGGGGGAAAAGCTGGGGCTCGGGCTCGGACTCGGAGACGTCGGAGCCCCGATATACCTTGGAGGTCGTTGATGGAAGTGGGATGTTGGGGGAGTCGACAGACTCGAAGAACCTGGAGGACCGACAAAAAATTAGGGCTTTACAGAGGCAGGCTCCTGCGGAAGCTCTTCGTCGTAGCAGCAGGTCGAGAACGAGAAGCTCAGAAAGAAGCTCGCAAAGTACGAGGCGGCGTCTGCAAGCACCATCTGCCTTTCTTCACGAAGCGACGACGGAGTCTCCTCAGGGAATGGTTCAGACCCTGAAAAGCATCGAGACGGACTCTAGCTTTGCAATGCTTTGCATCTTTGCAGCCACGCTGCGACTTCGGCAAGCGCCAGCCGCCAGCTTCTGGGCTTCCAGGAGCCCAAGTCGAAGGCAAAGCCTAAAAAGAAAGAGGCCGAGGTCGAGGATGGAGCATGAAGCATCACATATCTCTGTCCTCTCTCTCTCTCTCTCTCTCTCTCTCTCTCTCTCTCTCTCTCCCTCTGTCTCTCCCCGTCTGGATCACGTATGGTTGCTCGGTCCGTCTTTGGCAGGAGCCGAAGCCACAAGGCCGGGTTTTCCGCAACTTGGGGGCCTGGCGCAGCTTTTTTTCCATGGGTCAGGTGCCAAGGGGAAGGCCAAGGCCAAGGGCAAGAGCGGCAAGAGTGCTAGCACTGCTAGCAGCCGCCTGAGAACTGCGTCTCTGGCCTCAAGCCTGGGCCTCGGCGCGTCCTCTTTTTCTCGCAGCTTTAGCAGGCAAGTATGAGTACGAAGAGGAAGAGGAAGAAGCGCCTCGCTTGCGGTTTGCAGAGCGTTTTTCTTCTGGCTCACGGCGTGTCACGTGCCAAGGAGCCTGTCCTCAAAGGCAAGGGCAAAGGCAAGGGGAAGTCCAAGGGTGCCGAGAGCGGGAAGGAGGGGAAGAGCAAAGAGGGAAAGGGAAAGGGCAAGGAGAAGTCGCCCGCCGAGGAAAAGGGGACCAAGGGGAATGCGAAAGGCAAAGGCCTGAGCCGCCTGGGCTGATCTGAGCTTTCATGTGCTCGCAAGCTTGCTGTCGCCACACATCCACTGCGGGCTTGCAGGAAAAGGGAGGGAGTCCTACGACGACTACGAGCCAGTCGTCAAAGGAAAGGCAAAGGGAAAAGCGGGCAAAGCGGGAAAAGGAAAGTCCAAGGACGACGAGCCTCCGCCCCTTCGGCGCGGAGCTAAGGCCCAGCTGGCTGCCTCCTTCGTCCTTCCGGCTTTGTGCTCTCAGGGCCACCAAAGGCAAAGGCAAGGGAAAGGAGGAACCGAAAGGAAAGGGCAAAGCAAAAGGGAAAGGCAAGGGAAAGGCACGGCCCTACTTGGTGTGTCCGTCCTGTTCGCATCCGCTCGAATTCCTGCTCAGGGCTACAAAGGCAAGTGAGGCTCCCTTAAGAGCCAACGCCATAGTGTAGAAGAGTTCAGCTTCCAGTCAGTACTCTCGAATTGCAGAGACTGCAATCTTCTTTGAATCTGGCGATCTTCGCCCTTATATCTCTTTTATGCAGTCGCAATGCCTCAATGGTGAGCTCAGCCTGCTGGTAGCTCAGCAAGGATAGGGAAGCTGTGGCCAGGGCCACCCATGCGGCAGCGCTCAAAAGCACAGCGACACGCTCTGCAGAGCTCCTCTGCGCTCCAAGAGGAGCGGAGAGAGCGGAGAGAGCGAAGAGAGCGGAGAGAGCGGAGAGGGAGGGAGGGAGTCTAAGAGTTTCCCGCGGAAAGGCCGGGCGGGAAGGACCCGGTTGCAGTCGCCGGCCGCGAGTCGCCGGGCTGAGACGCTCACCTCTCAGTGAGCCTGCGCAAAGCGTATGCGCGAAAAAAGCCGGGGCCGGTCAGATGTGTAGATTCTAGATAGAGTATTATAGTACTGCACCCACCGCCTGAGCATGCCCAGACCGCTGGCCCCGAAAGCTCAGAGAGGATTTAGAGAAGGCGGGTGGCTTTCTTGTTGGACTCGCCCGCCCTCGCCGTCGCCTTAGCACTCTGCGGTCAGCATACGCGGCTCGTCGCTTCTTTGCCTAGAAGCTTTTTCAGGCCCTGTGGGCTGGCGGTGTGAGCATGAAGGAGGCAGATGCGCCTCTCCGCATCTCCGCATCCTCTGCCGGCTGCGCTGCAGGGCGCCGAGGAGCTGAAATCCATCCACACCTGCCCCTTGCTCAGAGCGATTGTGTCTCAGCGCGATTGCGCTAACTGCGCATTGTCGGAGGCACGGACTGCCCCTGGTGCCTTCTCTTTCTCGGCAGCTTGGGCGGTCTCGGGGTCCTCTACGGCTACGGAGTCACGCACGGCGAGCTCGGAAAGCCGGCTGCGCTGCGCTGCGCTGCGGCATGCTGTGCTCACCGCTCTGCCTGCCAGGCTCTACCACGGCATCGACTACCAGGGCCGCATCTGTGGCCTGGAGGGCCCCGAAGGTGTGCCCGGAAAGCCCGGCGCCCACTTCTCTATGTCCGGCCATGCGGCCATGACATCGGCCATGATGCAACTTTGTGCGGTCGTTCAAGTTGAAGCTTCGGCTCAGTAAAGAAGGAAACCCGCTGCTCCGCTGCTCGGTGAGCCAACGGCACGACTCTTGTTCGTGAACGCGGAACACCGCGCTTCGTCTCTCGGTGTGGCTCGCCGTGGCTCGCCGTGCAGCTCACGTTGGAGTTTCTGTGTCTTGGGGTTTATGTTGCGCTTCTGCGGGCCTCTGCGGGCAAGAGAAGGAAAGTCTGGCTGACTGCGTGGAATATGCGGGCGCGGGAGGCTCGGGCGTCACACACTGAGTCAAGCTGAGGCCCTACTTGTTCTGGTGCATGAACTCAGTGAGGGGCCCGACCCGGCCAAGAGCGTCTCTGAAGGGCAGTGCCGGAACGCCGGGGCGCTGCTTTTAGACCTCTCTGCAGGCCATGACCGCCGCCGATGTCTCTTTAAACCTGGCGCGCAGCTCGAACTTCTGCCAAGCCAACCGACCTTCTCTGTGCTATATCTGTCCTATGCGCTGAGAAAGACCCGGTCTGCGTCTCCAGCTGCCCCGGCGTCCCAAGCGCCCTGCACCGAGACAGGGAGAGCGCTGTACGGCTCGGAGCAGAGAGCGACAGATCGCAAAAGGCACAGACAGCTGCAAGCTGAGGCCCTAGGCGGGAGCCTTTATGCCCCCGTCCCCGAATGCAAGCAGCGGCCTAGGAAAAAGCTGCCTTCGGCTGCGCTCCTTCTCTCTCTCTCTCTCTCTCTCTCTCTCTCTTTTCCGAGGCTGGTCAGCGCATCGCAACAGATCAACTCGTACAAGACCATGATCATCATGAATCGATACTGCTTTCCGGACAGGGTGCAGTCGGTGGAGGGCTGGGCAGGGTGAAGTACCGAATGTTACACATTCCGGGCATTGTCAACTTCACGTATCACTTGCATGTTTCCATGTCTGTGCTCAAGGTTCTGGCATAGCAGAATATCCAGACTAAAGCCGTGTGCCTGTAGAAAAAGAGACACTTGCGTGCTTGTGTTCCTGTACGCCTTTGCGAGGGGATACACGCCCAAGTTACATCTCAATGTGGTTTCTCCGGTATACTTCGTACTTGTGAAGAGAACCGGAAGAAGAAAATCCCGGGGCTCGTTCCGAGGACAACGCAATGGCTAACCTATCTGCAGCAATGAACTTCGAGCA